TAAAATGTAAAAATAAATAATAAATAAAAATTAAGGTTGAGGTTAAATAATACATATATTATATATAAATATTATATATAAATATATATTATATAAGTATAAAATATAATAATATATAAAATAATACTAAAAATGGCAAAACTAACTAAAATGAAAACAGAAATAGAAAAATACAAACTAAATCAAAATAGAAATAAAAACCGTAACAGTATCTTAGTGAAACTAAAACAACGCCGTTCTACAGATTGTCTTTGATTGATTTCCTGGTGAGATTAATGACTGTCAGGAACAAAAGCACAGCTGTGTGTCTCAACAGCAGTCGCAGCGGCTCCACTGGCTTTTCCAGTAACACGGACACACCTCGATCCAAATCAGAGCTGATGATCAGCAGCACCTTTGGCTGTTTGCTTGTTCTGCACAATTGTGTTTCTGTTTGACCTACTTACAGTCTGACGCCAGTTAAACCGCATTTCAGCAGGTATTTGTGTCCTAGTGAATGCCGTTTCACCTGTCTGGCTTGCTCACCTTGTGCAGAGAGCGGTCTGTCTGTGTTCTTCTTGTGCGAGCTGCGTCTGCGAGGCAAACTGGATCCGTCCTTCAGTGATTCCTACATGAAGATGAACACAGTCAATGCACTCAAACTCATCGCTCACTGCAGTCAAACCCTCGCATGCACGCTCACACTGTACCTGCGCTGCCTTGTGAATGGTCAGAGGGCTGAGTGACATCACGCAGGGGGTGGAGCCAGTGATGTTGGACCAATCAGTGAGAGGCTTCTTCTCTTTCAAAACCTTCAAAGGCAAATGTCCTCGATGTTTAGTGAGTGACACATCCTGAGCAATGATATTAGCTAAACAAAGAGAACTACAATATTAAATGCAATTATTATAATAAAAACCAAAACATAAATGATTACAATAAACGAGGCTCTCTTCCAAAAACTAGTGCACCAGTGCCATGCTGTCTACATAGGCATCAAGTGAACTGTTCCTATTGTAAATGTGATGAGCATAAAAATACATAACACACAAATACTGGGTAAAAAACTTTTTTTTTTTTTATTCTTAAAAAATAAATCAATAAAAATTCTAATTAAAAAATTACTAAAATTTGTACTAAAATTAAAATGTAAAATAAAATAAAAACTAATGCAAAATATTAATAAATACCAACATAGTACATTAATGGCAAAATATTAATAAATACCAACATAGTACAGTAATGATTCCAAAATAATACTATCAACAAGGAATCATTCATGTCTGGAACAAAAGCAAAATTAGATTAAATTATTTATAGTGATATTTTTTGGTCCTTGTATATTTTTAATGACATTCTCTCACTTCAGCCACTGTTGCTAATAATTAATTAAATCATAAAAATTACTTTTAAAATAAAAACAACCAAAATAAAACACTTAAATTTGTTTTAAATATTTTAAATATATTTTAAGATTAAATAATTAAATATGTTTTAAGATTAAATATTTTAAAATATTAAATATCGTCAGTTATATATTATATATTAAATATTTTATTAGTTTATCTGCATGTAATGTGACTATTAACAGACATAAGAGAACCGTGAACATGCAAATGTGTTGCTAAATTATTGAAATATTAACTTTTAACATTAACAGGTTTGGTTGAAAAAAAAGTCTGGGCAAAAGTTCATCGTCTTACAAGACAATTGTTCAGTTTGTAATCATAAAACTCTTTATTATGCATTTTAATGAAATATGCATTTCAGGAACTTTCTATGTCTCTTCAGAATAGTGCTTTTGAGTGATTTTCAACGATTTATGAGTAATTATTAAGTACTAAAATAAATAAAAAACTAAAAAACTAAATAGACACTAATAAAAATGACTAAGCCAAACTACAAAATTACTCAACTTTAAAAATAAATAAATAAATAAAACTAATGCAAAATAGTAATAAATAATAAGAGAGTACAGTAATGATACTAAAATAAACTGAACAGGTTATTTTATTTTAAATATTATTGTATTTATTATTTAAATATTATTTTATTTGGTCGTTAACTAAAACTAAAAATGCTAAAAAAAACAAACATTTCAGCTTATTGGAATAAATTGAACATTAACAGAAATAAAATAAAGAAACTTAAACTTGTTTTTATTTCAGTTAGGCAAAATTTTATTTAAAATTCTACAATTAAAATAAAAAATTAAATAAATAGACACTAATAAAAATGACAAAAACAATTGATTTAATTTGAAATTATGAAAGAAATATATTAGCATTGTACAATGTACTTCAAAGTTATAATAACAACAATAATAATATTCTTTATAATAAAATAATTTATTTAAACATTGTTTTCAAGGAACATCATGTTTGTCCATGTTTTAACTTTGCCAAAAATAAAAGTTGTTGTAAATTTTAATTTAAAAACATTTTAAAACATTAATAAAAAAGTCCAAGTGTGATATAGATATACATAAGGTGTACAGCTTTATTTTTTTATT